GTGCAATACAGCATGCAAAATTTGAACATAGGTCACCAGACAAAATAAAGAGATATAGCGCATTGTTTTTCTAAAATGGAAAATTCTAATGACGTCAGCAATTGACATAAAACGCTATATAGAACACGCGAAATGACGTGAGATAGCGCGAGCAGCTGCTTACGTCAGGTCATTTTGGAAGTTCTGTCATTTTGTTAATCAGTTTCCGCGACCTGCGCGTAAGTCAGGCGAGTCATGTTCTATGTTTTGAGTTCGCGATTCTTGAGCAGGGTTTTCGTGATAACTATATCGAGCCACCTTAATGAAGTTTAGTACTTCTACTGAAAAGCGTCAGAAAATTCCTCGGCTAAATACATATAGTAAGGCTAAAGTTACAAATTATAGATCTATAGGGCTATTTATATCAAACTAAAACTCCAATAATTATCTCAAATATTCATTAGAATTACACATTATGAAACAGTTCTTCAAATATCATTAATAATTCATAAGCTTATTGGAAAACATGTCAACCATAATATGTCACATGAAGAGGCTTTATATCAGTAAAACTCATCTTCATTAGTATTCTTTATATAAAAGTCCATCGTAATTAGTATTCTTCATGTAAAGAATACTAATGAGACGGCATCTATTGTGAAGGTGTTTGAAGCCAATCAAAACATGCGTAGGAGTGCTTTTAATATGATAAAACACTCCTGCTCGCTTATTAAACAGTACTTAAATCTGTTCGTTTTGCACATGAGAAGTTCAAAATTCCTAATTTGCCGCAACGTATGTCTATCGTTATTACTATATTGATGACAGCAAGTTTTTTAATTTATGTTTTGGGTTACTGGGTCACTGGCTATTCCATAACTTAGTTGTCAAGTTTTGTTGACATCCTATTGTGTTATTGCAATTATTATTGTAAACATAGTATTCGTAACTTAAATTTGGTATGTCAAGAATTAATATAAATTGATACACGAATCGAAAATGTCAATTTCTTCAGAGTTTATACTTCGGCTGTCTTTTTAATTACCATGGAACAGTGCTCTGCTGGCCTTTTTACCACGCGCTCGCGGCTCTCTTGTTTGAAAGCAAACGAACTTGCCACGTTTGATCATATCAGGAAACTTCTTATACCCCAAGCCGCTCTTTTTGGCTTTATCATCACGCGATAAGACATCATCGTCGACGACAACGGTTTCAATGCCTTGCATGGCAATCAAAGGAGCGCATTCATTGCACGGAGACTTCGTAACAAACAGAATTGCGCCTTTGATATTCTTTTCATTTCGCATCAAAAGAGCATTCTGCTCAGCATGAATTACATACGGGTATTTTTTATCAACTATAGATTTATCATCTTTTGAAGCTCTTGGAAACTCGCCATAAAGTGCTTTGAGAGGAAAGCCATTCCAACCAAACGAGAGAATCTCCTTTTCTTGACTGACAATCACTGCACCAACGCCAGTTTTCGGGTCGTCTGTGCGTTCGGCCAAAAATCTCGCTATCGACATGAAATGACGGGCTTGCTCTGCGTCGGTGGTCTTACTCACTGGATTAAAGGCATTGGAATTCTTTGACTTCTCACTGCAAAGCTCAAACTCGTAATTCAACCCACGGCCTTGCAGAACGTTAGCTCTTGCCATCCACTCCATGGCGTTCGCAAAGTATACCAGAACTTCCGCTTTTATTTCTTTATCGAATGCTGGCCAGGGTAGTTCGTCCCTAATTAAACGTATCCATTTGAGATTTCTTTCAAAACCATATTCATGGTTCAATCTATCTATTTCATCGCGAATGTGCTTCTTTTTTTTTGCCGATGTTTTTTTCTGTTCCGCATCTTTAAGAACAGGCTTCTCGACTTGCAAAACGAACCTTGTCTGGGCAATAGAGCTTGCGGTGAATAAATCGTCGACTTGTTTCATTTGGGTATTGTTGTATTTCTTTCTTTTTTCAGTAACTTTCTTGCGAGTCGTGCTGGTGGTATTTCGTTTATACGGTTCAGGTGAACGATAGTATTCTGGTTCAAACGGCAGAAACAAGACTCGTTCCACTTTCGATTGAACCAACAGCTTCGCACACATCGGACACGGCTTTCGAGACATGAACATCTTACAACCCTTGGCTTTATCGTAGTGTTTCATCAACAACCTCGCTACAGCGTGGACGCCATCTCGAGAGCAATCTGCGGCGAAAATCACGTCGTTTGGTAACACAAGCACCGCTCCGACTTTGTTGTGATCCTCTGGAGCTTCCTTGACAAAATTTTCCATCCACAGAGCTATGATCATATAAAGATTGTCTTTGCTCACTCGCGAATAACTCTTCGCGTAAGATGGGAGCCCCGCTTCAGCTGCTGTACGTTTTCTGCGTTTTGCCTTTGACGAACTTGTATCCCCACTGGACGCCATGTTGAGATTTAAGAGACAAACTTACAGCGCGTACATTATATCATAATTATATACAACATACAATAAAGACGTGACTAAGAGCCAATTAGATATACAGGCATATCTAATTACTGGTAATTCTTGGAAGAACTGCTTTTACTTTCAAACGTCATTCACTCAGGGCCAAGTCCCTGTGATCTCAAAACGGAAGTGGATGGAAGAGAGTGTTTTTACTAATCTCAAATGCAACTGATAGGTCATGAAGATTGTCCATCCCTATAGCATTCATTTGTAGACTTGGCACTGTCCTGTCCACCCCTGTAGCATTAATGAACGTTTTTCCTATATTTAACCCTGTCGGTCTTTGCCGGTCAAAAGCAGACATTGATAATTTGATAGTATAGTACTTTTAATTATTACCTTATTCTATACTTGTTTCAGATATTTTGTTGTATATGTTGTAGTTTTCTGTATATTGTATTAATATTATTCTGTAATGTGATTTACACTTTTTGTTTATACTTTGTTTTGACTAAATCCATCTGATTGCTTTTTCTGTCACCCGATGCTTTTACATTCTTAGTATCATGCTCAATGACCGAACTGGATTGAACAAAATTTTCACTGATCTCAGTGACTGAACTGGATTGAACAAAATTTTCACTGATCTCAGTGACTGAACTGGATTGAACAAAATTTTCACTGATCTCAGTGACTGAACTGGATTGAAGTTTTCACTGATCATCTCAAAAATGAATGTGTAAAAATATTACATCAATAAACAATACCTATTCTTAATTTTATGGTGTTGATACCAACCAGAGCATATAGTGATGAAAAAATATTTCATGCACATTGCACTGTATATGAATAGAATTTTCAATCAATCTAGGTTTACTTCATGCCTCAAATATAGACAACAGCACATCAGACTTCCACTTTGAACAATGAAAATAGTTTTCATATCTTTGAGGATAATTCTATTATAAAATTGAAACTAAACTTTTGTCATTGTTTTATATCCTGACAGCTCTCTTAACTGTTTCTATTGCATACCTGTTAGTCTATTGTGATGTTATATTTCAATAACATAAATAAGTTACCATTCTTTTGCACTAAATTGTTTTGTTAAATTGTTTACTGTTAAAGCCATATTTCAACGTAATGCAAATTACGAAGGAAGTAGAAATAAATCACGAGAGTTATTTCTGGCCATGCGTCTCTATCTGCTTTCTAGTATATTGACATTGCCAACACTATTTTCATCATGGCAATTTGCTTCATGTATTGGCAACGTTTTAAAGGGCTATCTACAAAACGGGGTCCAATCGGGAAATCTGGGATAGAGGAATCCAGGAATTGAGGAATCCGAGAATCGGGAAATCTGCGAATCAAGAAATCTAGATTTGTGCATAAATTATGCAAAGTCAGCACTTTTTAAAAAGTTTAATCTTCCACAATTCAAAAGAGATTTTGAAGATCGTATGCCACTCCCTGAAATATCTTATATACACCCTTCTTTACAAAACAAAAATTCAATTTGATACCAGATATATACGACAAACGTCATAAACCTAAACAGCCAAATTCTCGCGAAAATTACAGTAACGCATTACGGTGCAAGACTCTCCCCTTGACGAGTAAAATTGTCAGGCGTTAGACAGAGTAAAATAATAAAGTAGGGTGCATAACCGTGCATTTGTGCGCATTGCAGCTTAATGGGTTACCAAGAGCCATTGACAGATATTTTAGTTAAGCCATTAGTGTGCAAGACTGTTTCCCTGACGCATAAAATCGTCTGACATTAGTAAAATTGTGAATTAAGGTGCGTTTGGGTGATATTGCATCTAAAAAACCTGCATTACATAAAGATAGGCTCAGTAATATACTAGATGCTCTCTTTTGGTTCTTTATATAACTGCATGTTATTTTAAGGTCTGTTGCTGTAAGGATAAATCATTGTCAATTCCCACACAAAGCTTCACAGTTTGATATAATACTTTTTGTTTGTTGAAACACCACGTAAATTTATTACTGCAAAGCTTTCGATCCGTAAGCCCGGATCTTTATCAGTGCTAATAATATGCGACTTGTTCAATTCACATGCCCTGAATGAACAAGTCACATATTATTAGCACTGATGAAGATACGGGCTTACGGATCGAAAGCTTTACAGTAATAAACTTACGTGGTGTTTCCACAATTATATGTTTTATCGCAATGCAAACCTACAAAGAATCAATAGTTTGATAGTTTAATGAAGTTTAGGACTTCTGCTGAAAAGCCTCAGTAAAATTCCTCGGCTGAATAACGCAACGTTTTACAAACACTATAAGGCTAAAGTTACAAATCATGGATCTATTATGGCTATTTATATTATACTAACATTCTAATAATTATCTCAAATATTCATTAGAATTACACATTATGAAACAGTTCTTAAATCAGTTCGTTTGTACGTAGAAAGTTCAAAATTCCTAAGTTGCCATCTTTATTTATTGGTACCTGACGTCACAGTCTAAACCTAGTTGCAAATTGTGACGTCATGCGTATTGCAAGTATACCAAAATTTTACGCCGTTTAAAAGAGTAATATTGAAGCGTAAACTGGTTTAATTGTTTTAAAAACATGCCTAAGCCACGACAAAGTATTCAAGGTAAATGTTTTTCGTCTTTGTTTTGTATTTTTTTTAAATTTGTAGCTACGAAATTGGCGTCGCCAATTTTAACGAAATTTGCGATGCATTTTTCACTGTTTAGTGTTTGAAATATTTGCTAAAATTGACTGGGAATACGTAGAGATTTCATCGTAGAATGGCGTAGTTATACTTATTTGCTCTTTGACTGAAATGTTTAGCTGTATTATTGCTAAATATACCGTTTTTGAGAATTTGGTTTGCAACTAGGTTTCAACGTCCAATCACGCCATCAGCCCATTGAAAACATTAGGCCACGTCAGCTAGTTTCCTATCTATTTATTTTATTATCCATCGACATGGTAACAGCATTTAATTTATAAAGACATTTAATTTATGTTTTGGGTTACTGGCTATTCCACAACCTTGTTGTCAAGTTTTGTTGACATCCTATTGTGTTATTGTAATTCTTACTGCAGTATTCGTAACTTAAATGTAACATGTCAAGAATTAATATAACTCTACAAGAATCGGAAGTGTCAATTTGTTCAGAGTTTATGCTACGACCTGTTTTTCATCATCGAACTGCAGTGCTCTGCTGGCTTTGCTAGGATCTGGATCTGCTCGCGGCTCTTTTGTTTGAAAGCAAACGAACTTGCCACTTTTGATCATATCAGGAAACTTCTTATACCCCAAGCCGCTCTTTTGGGCTGCATCATCACGCGATAAGACATCATCGTCGACGACAACGGTTTCAATACCTTGCATGGCAATCAAAGGAGCGCATTCATTGCACGGAGATTTTGTAACAAACAAAATCGTGCCTTTGATATTTTTGTTATTTCGAAACAAGAGGGCATTCTGCTCAGCATGGATTACATACGGGTATTTCTTATCAACAATAGATTTATCATCTTTTGAAGCTCTTGGAAACTCGCCATAAAGTGCTTTGAGAGGAAAGCCATTCCAACCAAGCGAAATTATTTCCATTTCTGGACTTACAATTACTGCACCAACTCCGGCTTTGGGGTCGTCTGTGCGTTCGGCCAAAAATCTCGCTATCGACATGAAATGACGGGCTTGAATCGCATGGGTGGGGTTATTCACTGGATTAAAGGCATCGGAATTCTTTGACTTCTCACTGCAGGGCTCAAACTCGTAATTCAACCCACGGCCTTGCAAAACGTTAGCTCTTGCCATCCACTTCATAGCGTTGTCAAAGTATTCTAGAACTTCCGCTTTTATCTCATTGTCGAATGCTGGCCACGGTAGTTCGTCCTTAATACACTCCATCCAATTGGGGTTTCTTTCAAAACCATATTTTTTTATCAATCTACGTGTTTCTTCGGCAATCTGGTTCCTTGTATCCTTTGATGGTGTTTTCTGTTCCGCATCTTCAAGAACCGGCTTCTCGACTTGCAAAACGAACCTTGTCTGGGCAATAGCGCTTGCGGTGAACAGGTTATCGACTTGTTTCATTTGGGTATTGTTGGATTCATTTATTTCATCATTGATTTTATTGATTTCCTCGCTAGTCTTCTCGTCCGCATCTGGTTCAAGCGGTTTGGGGGAACGATAGTATTCCGGTTCAAACGGCAGAAACAAGACTCGTTCCACTTTCGATTGAACCAACAGCTTTGCACACATCGGGCACGGCTTTCGAGACATGAACATCTTCGAACCTTTGGCCTTATCGTAGTGCTTCATCAACAACCTGGCTACAGCGTGGACGCCATCTCGAGAACAATCTGCGGCGCAAACCACGTCGTTTGGTAACACGAGCACCGCACCGACTTTCTTGCAGGGCTCAGGAGGATCATCGACAAAATCTTCAACACATAGCGCTATGATCATGTAAACATTGGCTTTACTCACTCGTAGATAACTCTTCGCGTAAGATGGGTTATCCGGCGAGGCATTAGCAGTCTGTCCCACTGGGGCACTAGAATTAGCTACATTTGACGGGAGTTTTCTGCGTTTTGCTTTTGGTGAACTAGGACCCTCGCTAGTCGCCATCCTGCTGAGAATTAACAAATACACTTACAGGGCTTACATTATATGCGATAACATCTGCCTATTTCTATATAACAAGCTTTGTATTCCAGTTACCGGTAGTTCTTAGAATAACAGGATTTGACTTTATAATTTACACAGCAATATTGACATCAAAATAGCAACGTAATGACACCGCCATAGCAACAAAGCCATATATAAAATGCATGCGCTCTATCACGGCAATAAAGCGCGAAATTGTAGTAAGACAATCTCATCAGGTGAATTGTATATATTTGTAATTCTCACCAAACAAGTGACATCACGATCTTTAAATTTATACATTGAGAATTTTTTAAAAATAAGCAATGATTTTCTACATCGTATTAATTGCTGTAAGCAATATTACAAAACGCATTAAATCATACATTTCTAACGGATTCTTTGCGATTTTCAGGAGAATTATATACCAGCATTGACAGGCCAGTCTTAGAGAATTATATACCAGCATATGACAGGTAGTTGTATTTCCGGGTTTTCCGAGTGTCTAAATCTTCAACATTTTCTACAGGGAGCACAGCCAGAACACCCCCCCCCCCCCCCC